TGACCCAGGATTCAGTGGGTACACATTCTGAGGGCGGTTTCCTGCCTCAAACCCTGCCCTCACAGGAAACAGCTCCAGGAAACAGCTTGGGGGAGGGCGCAGCTGTTGCCAAGACAACCCCTGCAAGACTGACTTGCTTCCACTTGGTCACCAGACCCATTCCTGATGAACTTAACCCAGGGTTTTTATATAAGTAGATATGTACCTGTTTATTTGTTGATCTGTAGAGTGAGCTGCATTTAATTGGAGATTTTGTCTATTTTGCTTCGGGCTCTTAGAACAGTTTTTGACACATAGCAGATATTCAGTAAGTACATGCCAGGTGAATGAATGGAGAGCTAAACAAACAATGCTACACCTGTGAGTCTGAGCTGTGGAGGGCTCACCTAGAGCCTCCAGCCCAAGCTATGGTCCTGGGAATCCTGCCACTGGGAGACCTGCTGGCCTTTATTAACATGACCTGGGTTCAAGGCTGGCCCTACTCTGCACAGAGCAGATAGTAGAAACCTAATGGCCCAACTCTCCCCCAGGAGCTTAGGGCTCCGCCAGCATCCTGGGGCCATAATCATCTCCAGCCCCGGCCTGCAACATCCCTCCTGACTTGGCTGAGTTCCTAATCCCTTCTCCATGAGAACTCTCCTCACTTCTCCTGGGGAGCAGGGTGGGTATAAATTATGAGGAAGAGGAGGCAGCTGTGAGAGTTGGGCCGAGTGTCGCTGTGTGGCCTCAAGCCAGATCCACGTGTCAGGAGGCCATGAGCACTCACTAAGAACAGGGCGTCTTGTGGTTTGTCCATGCCCACAAAGGACCACAGCAATCTCTGTGAACACGGGAGGGAGCTGGGCTGGGGGAAGCAAGTGAGAGGGGGAGGGGAGTGGAGGCGGGTGTACCGGTGGGGATGGGACAGGGGACACAGACAAACCTGGGAGCCTGGTGTGGGAGATGGAGCCAGAGAGGACACAGAGAGAATCAAAGACAGAGAACCAGATGAGAAGGGGCTGGGAGCTGCCAGAACCCCTCCAGCTGCCTCACAGCTGAGCAGAGTGTCTGTGCTGCTACCATATTTTAAAACATGTTTGCTTTCATAGTTAAATACTCAGAGGAAGCTTTTATATTTTGTGAAGAGGAGAAAAAGGAGAATTACAGATACGCCCAAAGAAGAAAAGAAGTTGACCTACAATGTTATTACCCAGGGATTGTCACCATGGACATGTTGACACTTACTTTTCTAGTCTTTTTTTGATGACTCACCCTATCATCTATCTATGTATCTATCAATCAATCATTTATCTATGATTTTTTAAATTTAAAAAAAACGTTCTTAACATTTCAATCTAATATAAATATTTTCCTAACCATGAAGTGATCTCCCATAATTTTATTTTTATAGTATTCCATGGTAAGAATTAAAAAGTAGCTTATTAACTCAATGCCATCATGTTGGAACCTGGGGTCCCTGCCTGCGTTCCTCATCATGAGCAGCACGGGCACCCCAGGCACCCTCGTGTCCCTCCAGGATCACCTAGCTTAGGGTGAGTGTTTAGGAATGGAAATGTAGACTCAGAACTCTGTCTTGAAAGTGTTACCAGGAATTGCCAAACTGTCTTTCAGATCTTTTGATAGTTACAGTCGGCGCTTGCCACACACTGCCTTTGTGTTCTTCGCTCTGTGCCCTGGGCTCTACCCAGCTGAGGTTTTCTTACAGAAACAGGGCCTCGGGGTCAGCCTGGGGATCAGGCCAGGCGGGGCCCTGTTATGTCCACTGAGCCCAGGGGAATGGGCCCGGGTGGAGCTAGGGAAGCTCTTGAAGACGCTTCCCCGTGAACCTCAACTCTGTTCGTCTCTGCTCCCCTCCCAGGTGTTATCTCCCCTCCACACC